AAGCTTCCGCTCTTCTTTCTAGACCAAGAGGACGATCAAATCGTCTCATTCTGCACTTAAGCGGCCTCCAGCCGGCCCAGCAGGACATCTGCAAAAAGCTGTCATGATGCAAAAAGGAGCCTTGAGCCCCGCATCTGTTACCACATCTTTAAAGTTACCCACACCCATGGACAGAATGGCTCTAACAATGGGGGGGTATGGGATCAGGGTGTGTTGAAACAGCCCACTAGTGCTTTGGAAAAGTCTGTGCTGTACATTTGTGCTTGCTCAGTCAGAAAACGCTTGCCTGAAAGGCCACTCAGCTGCAGGTGTGGTCGGCCAGTGCGAGAGCAACGAGTCTTGCCCGAGCAGCGGCGCAGGTCCACAGGAGCGCAATTCCACAGCAAAAGTTTTGTGGGCTTCTTCCACTGGCAGCCGTACATACACATGTGCACAGTCACCAACTGCACTTTTGGATGTTTCAGCAGTCTTTGAATTTGAGGGGTATCCCACACAAAAGACGTAGCTGGGTTTTCCAAGTAGCCACGGGTACCTAAACGTAGGCAGCGGCGAATCAGGCGAACCGACGCAAAGAACATGCGATTTGCAGCCTGAACTTTGAGAAAATCAGCAGTCTCAAGGTGGGGCAAACCAAATAGAAAATCTGCACTCCGCAAAGGCTTTGGCATTCGAGACCAAGGTGGCGCGCGCCTAGCCCTTGACCATGTGTTGCACGGGAGGTCCACTCCCACACAGTCAAAGAAATGCAAGGCTCGAAAAACTTGATTCCAAATCGAAAACTTTGAAAGGTCATTGGACAGGGAGTGGGATAAATCAACCAGCAAAGACAGACCACCCAAATCAGCGAACTGTTTTGCAGGGTTGCCCGCTCCCCCAAACAGACTTAAGAATGCTTTCTTTTGGAGCTCTGGGCCTTCTGCCGCACCTGCTTTGGGATCTCCCGAAACCCAGTGTGGAACCAACGAAGAAAATTCTTTCTCACATTCTCTCCGAAATCCGTCAGCCGATTGCCATGCTGATTCACGATTTGTTGAAGTCTCCCGGGTTTGCTGTAGATTCTGGAGCTGCTGTCGCTTGCCCACCTCCCCCTCCGTTGAATGTTCCCCACACTCCTCAGTCTGAGAAGGTGGTCCCGGCTGGCGCCTCCATGACGATTCTGGTAGGGGGTCTCCGCCACGTCTTCCACCTCTAGAGCTCTCACACACTGTCGCCAAGTCTCCAGGTACTTGCGGGCTGTGAAGGGCCACAGCTGTCCTCCTTCTCCTACTTCTTTGCTCCTGCGAGCCGCCAACTGGTTCAAGAGCTCCCCCAGCCATGGAGCGCGGCTGTCGTCCAGGATCAACGTCTCGTCGAAAATTCCGGCTTTCGATGTTTCCCCTCGTTCGATTGGGTTCAGAATCAACACGTCGAAGTTGTGTCCTGGGGCACGCGGAACCACATCTACTGGTCGAAGCCTGAGCAGCTCTCCTGGTCGGGCATAAGTTGAAAATGAGGTTTCGTTGAACAGAGACATTTCCCGCTCCCCCATGTCCATCATGAGACCACTGATGCAGCTCTTGAGGAACTCCATCATGGGAAGGCGTGTTTGCTGCGGCGCTAATTTGCGCCATCCCTTCATGGCTCGCTTGAACCTGGGCAGCATCAGTTGGCCAGACCTGATCCCCTCTGGCCGTTCGTACTCGAGGGCAGCTTTCAACTTTTCTCCGACATGACACCCCTCCCCATCGAGGAAAAGCTCGTCGGCATAGTCGCACATGGCTATGTCTAGCTCGCCTTCGGTGCGAATGCTCAGGTTGTGAAATGCTACGAAGTTGTAGAATTCTTCCAGCCTCCGAGAGTATTCTTTCCTTTGTGGCTCTTTCACGGAGTGGATCTCCAAAATGGTCCTTTCCCCTGCACTTGCTCTCAGCTTGCGCACGAACTTCTTCTGTCTTTCTGTAGCTTTCCTCCTCTTCTTCTCTACTGACTTTATCTGCTGCCTCAATCCGCTGTTCATAACCTTGACTCCTGCACTTTCCCTCGCCCTCGAAGGTGACCGACTCCTCTTCCTCTTTCGGCCTGCCTCCAGAGAAGGGCTTCGCATCCTCTGGTTTGCACGCACAGCCTCTGTCTTGGAAAAAATTTGCACCTCTCTTCGGGGCTTTGCGCTTTTCGAAGTCTTCAGCTCGTCTCTCACTCTCCCATTGGCGACTGCCCTTGTCAGCAACATTTAGTTCTGAAGCCAGCCACCGAATGTGAAAGCGTTGCCCCGTAGCCAGGGCATGAGCCGATATCCTACGAATAATCCGAAGCAGACCATAGTTGTGACATCTTCCCTTTTGTAAAGCCAAGACCACCGACATGTTGTCATTGAGTATGAGAATCTTCTTTCGATGACGGTGGTGGTCCCGGCTTCTGTGCTTTACTGCTGCTAAAATGGAGCGGGCTTCAATCATGTGTACTGGTTCTTTGTGGGTTATATGGGAGTTCCAGAGAGGATGCCAGGCTTTCTCGTTCATGAAATCATGACCAACTTCGGGAAAACCAGCTACTAATTCCAGATCGCCAAAAACCTCGCCAGTAACTTCAGGAAGCACTGTCTTGGGGTCCTCAAAAACTTTGGAGGTGTCCAACGCTTGACTGCGAGGCGCAACCTTTCTGCCATCTCCCCACCTGAACCGCCATCTCTCGTCGTAGCGGCCAAGCGAAGCCACTTCCTGCGAAGAGTGCTGCGATTCCATCACAGCATAGCCCGACAAACAAGCATCGGTGCAAATTGGTTGGCCATCCCAGGCAGCAAAAACATTGGCAGTACCTAAAGCCATCAGCCCTCTAAAAATACGAAGTTCCAAAGCGACTGAAGCCCAAAGCCTATGCCTCTGGTGGTAAAATCTGCGAATAAAAACATATGCATGCCGAAGGATGCTCATGAGCCCCCGGTGTAAAAGAGCTCGAATCGTCATGTGACCCACAATCACTTCCAGCTCTTGCCCCGATATGCGAGGCCTTGCAAACGCCAGTCCTTCCAAGGCACGATCGAGCCTCCAGTCCCTCGCCGCTGTGGTCCCCACCTGGCCGGTGGCGCCATTGATCCGGATCCCCAAGCTCTCTGCGAGGGAGACTGGATCAGTGACTTCGTGAGTTTCCAGTCCATGCGAGTGCAAAGAACCAATCATGTTTTTCTGTTCTTCCAACAGCTTCTCCCTCTCTATCCCTATGTGGTTGTTGTTGTCAGCATAGATCAACAGGGCTGATGAATGCTGCCCCCCTCCCATGTCCCAGGATCGGCGCTGGCCGCCGGTCTTGAAGTATCCCGCAGTGAGGCAAACACCTGGCCGACAGCTCAACATGCGCCATATGCGCCAGGTGGAATGACCACGAGAACCCCATGGGAAGTACTTGAAAAAAGGGATGAATAGGAGCAGTGTGTCGATCTAGTAGCTCTTCCACACCAGGAGGAAGGAACCCCAAAGCATCACGAAGCTGGACTGGATCAATTGCGGGGAGAGCAAAATATTCACCTAGGGGACGATGAATACGAAGCCGATAGAAAAAGTCTTTGACATCTTCTTGTGCCACGAAGAACTCGGCACCGGGCTCGTCAAACTCCAATCTAGTCCACGTATCTGCAGACCCCAAAAGAGTGGAAGGGGGAGACCGAAACAGTTTGTTTGTGCGTCTTGCGTCCACCACCAAACGTTGCTTTCCTGATTTCTTGGCAACACAAAACACCCCCACTTGAGACTTGGGTGCAATGGTGAAATCCAACAATTTGCACGCAAAGAGGTCTGCGACAAACGCATGGTACTCTGTTTGATCTCCTTCGAGCACTGGGTCAAGGTATTTGTCGCGGCTGAAGCCTCGCTCCAAGACACCGGCCATCTCCTCATCGGAGAGAAGCATTGAGTCAGCAAAATGCTCCAGTTGTTCTTTTTCTTTGGCTGGAAGCAGGTGACTCAACTGTACTGGGTCTTGCTGGTCTCTTGGGAGCGAAAGCAGCGCCCTCTGATAGGCCACAACCTGGCCTGGGGCGTCCCCCGACTCATAGCCTGAGGACACCTTCTTGGACAGCAGCTGCCGAAGCGCTGCCTGTGGGGTCTCCCTCTCAGGGGGTGGAGGCCTTTTGAAATGGGCCTCACTCACCACCTGCAAAGCAGACTTTTGGGAAAAATTTGTAGGAGAGCTTGGCCAAGACGACTCATCGGCAAAGCCTGCAAGGTGGTTCAAGCACTTCACAGTCTCGATCTCCCGGGATACAAGCAGCCTTCGCTTCTGTACCCTTTGTCTCGAGCGCCGAGAATGCAAGGCAGAGACATCTCCCACGTAGCCATCATCCCTCGGCAGCGGCAGTGGGAATAGATCCCCAAAACGCTGCAAAGGAGCATTGGAAAACATAGTGGTGCTAAAAGGTAGTTCGCACCTCCGACCGGCACCCTCGATCGGAGGCGGCCTCTTCTTCTCAGGGCTTTCCTGGGGCTTTGCCCCCATCCTCCTTCTCCTTGTTGCCCTTGCCCTCGCCTTTGCGACTGAGTCTCTTCTCCTCACTTGCCAGGCGAGTCTGCTTCATCACCTCCGCTTTGGTTGCTTGTCTCTTTGCCGCAAAAGCCGCCAAAGCTGGGTCAACTATCGATCCATCAGCACTTTCTCTCACTCCCAGGAAATCCTCTGCGCCTTCGTACGAAGGGGCATCTGGTCGCCCTTGGTGAGCATGTTCGATCAAAGTCCGACGCCTATTCAGAGCTTCAGCAGCCGCAATGGCCGGCAAGTTGAGCTGGTCATAGCACATCATCAGGTTCAGCGCCCGGCAGACCGAAGAGTGCTCGTGGACTGACCTGTCAGTGGGCCTCACACCACTCTTTTTTAGCCAAGACTCGTGATGCTGAACAAAGTCAAGCCCCAATCGGCGAAGCTGGCGAGTGTCATGACTGACAGTGCGAGGACCCTGCAGGGGGTAATCGTCAAACTCCACGTCCTCGAATTCCGGCACCGCCTCCGACACAGTGCGCCACCTTTCCTCGGCCGAATCGAAGATGACTGGAAGGATCCGAAGATCCCGTTCTGCCGGAGGCTCAACATTGACCCCAGCAAGAGCGGCTCTTTGTACCAAGTGGAAATCCTCATGACGAACCCCCCCTACAAAGCACCTCTCGCCCATCATCACTGAACATGCTGAACTCTTTCCCACCAACGAACAACCTCTGCACGTCAGCTCCAATCGCCATTTCATCACCTACCCCTCGACCATCTGAGGCGTAGACCACCAGCCACCGCTGTTCCCCTTCGGGTCCTTGCTCCGGGGGCTGTTGGTGAGGAGGAGCTTGGGCTTGAGCCTCCGGAGACACAACACCTTCCGGTTCCTCTAGTCTTCCCACAACACGTCGACGAGTACCATCAGCGGCAAACCGTCTCTCTGCATTAGACATCAGGGTCCTCATCTCATCGTGCAGGATGACACCATTCGGAGAGTGCTTGGGCAAGTAGGTCTCCCGCTCCCGGATTCCAGCGGGAAGCTTCCCACTTGTCATCTTCCTGATTTCAGAGTACACTGATCCAGTGGCAAGCCTAGTTGACTCCAAGTCTCTATCTGGGGTCAGCACCACCACGTTGTCTCCATACAAGCACAGCATCACACATCTCCAGTGAAGCAAAGTCGGGTCACTGATGTATCGAACGAGCACGCAATCTTGCGGCAGCCAGTTCTTCCGAAGAGGTCCCGCCGCTCTCATCGCTAGACACTAGGTGGCCTACGCCTCCCTTCTTTTTGGTCACCAGGGTGACTGGGCGCCCCGCCAATGGGGTGCTAGGAACTTCTTGCTTGAATCTCCCAAACCAGAAGCCCAGGATCAACCCGAGGACAAGGCACAGAAATGCAAAAAAGATCACTGACCAAATGGAATGACACTCGTTTGACCTTCTGATTTCACAATCCACCACCTGCCTGGAAAGAGTGCTCGAATGATTCTGGCAGCTCGCGAGATACTGGTCGAGGATGGTACTCTTGGCTTCGCACCCAGAGGTCTTTGCAGCAGCACCGCTGTCCAAACGCCGCACCAGGTCCACCACACTCACTATGGCAACCCGAGTGAAATCGACGGCTAGAGTGCGGGCGGCCTCCCTCCAGGACATTTGAGAAGAAAAGGACTAGACATGTAAGACAGAAATTCGAAGTGCTCTAGCTATTATGCCCTTTGGGCTCCAA